CAGCTCAAGGCTAGCGTTCTACTACTTGAGCCACAGCGCCACTTCCAGCTTTTTTCTTTTTGCTTATGTGGTGCTGAGGAATTGAACCCAGGGCCTCAGGTATGCAAGGCAAGCCCTCTACCACTGAGCCACCTTCCCAGCCCCCACTTCCAGTTTTCTAGTGCTTAATTGGAGATATAAGTGCCATGGACTTTCCTGCCCATGGTGGCTTTGAACTGTGATCCTCAGATCTCAGCCTGAGTAGCTAGTATTACAGGCATGAGCCACCAGCAAGTTACAATTTTTTGAGCATTGTTGTAGGTAGTCTTACTACTATACAAAATAATGGGTTTTATTATGATACTTGGTATGTATGTATGTATGCACCATTCCTGGGGCTTGAATTCAGGGTCTGGTGCTATCCCTGAGCTTTTATGGTAGTTAATGTAGATAAGAGTCTCACAAACTTTCCTGCCTGGCCTGGCTTTGAATCATGATCCTCAGATACCAGCCTCCTGAGTAGCTAGGATGATGGGCATGAGCCACCAACACTTGGGTATTATGATACTTGTAAACATATGATCAAATACTTTTAAACTTTGATCAAATTTATGACTTTCTTCAGTTAAGTAGCAAAGAGGTTTCAATTCAACATATCAATTTATGAGTACAATGCATCTTAATGTCACCCTCCATCATTTTCTTTTGTTTGTTTGGGGTCTTGTCGTGTGTCCCAGGTTGCTTCAAGTTCCCAAGTGTTGAGATTATAGGCCTGAACTGTGCCCACCTTTTTTTTTTTAATATGCTGGATTTGAACTTGGGACCTCCTTGTACTTGCTAGGCAGGTACTACTTGAGCCATTTGCGGAGGAGATGTATGTGAGGGTTGAGCAATTCACCCAGTGCACTTAACTACTCAATAAGGGAGCTATGGCCCAAACTCAACTTTTACTATCCAAGAACATCAAGTTTTATTTCACCTAGTATCCTTACAACACTGATGTGAGAATATTTATTACTCTAATTTCACCAAAAAGAGTTTAGATACTTAAAAGAATTTATGGTCATAAAATATGAAAAAGAAAATATAGGCAACATTTATCATATAGCTTTCATTTTAACAATTTATCCATTTGCAGGCATTAACTTCTTTTAGAAAACATTTTATAAGTTATATTTCATTTCAAGGGATCGCCTTTCAAATAACTAAGCATATTTTATGTTTGTTGATAGAAACCAACTCGGAGAAGATCATCTTATGAAAGAGAAGGATGGTGGAGAATGACCTTAAAAGTGTGTATATTTCAGTCTTATTCAAATTATTTTTATTACCATTAAGATTTTAGTGTTTTGCTGTTTGTCAGTAACAACAATAAGAAAACAATGGTCGTTTCTACATGAACCATGAAATGAGTGTCATTTTATACTTATAAATTTTAGTATTAGTGTATGAAAGAAATTAGTTTTTTATTCTTTATTTTGGGAGGTGTTTTGGAGGGTTTGAACTCAGTACCTCATGCTTATTCAGATTTCTTGCTAGGCTAGTTCTCTGTTTACCATTTACACCATGTCTCTAGCCCTGCTGTTTACTGATTATTTTGGAAATGGAGTCTCTTGACTTTTCTGCCTTCTATCTTCAAGATGTTAGTCTCCCAAACAGCTAAGATTACAGGCATAAGCCGTTGACTTATGCCTGTAATACTAGTTACTTGGGAGGCTGAGATCTAAAGGTAGAGGTTTACAGACAAACAGATTCTTACCTCCAATTAACCAGCAAAAAGCTAGAACTGGAAGCATGACTCAAGTACTAGAGTGCCAGCTGGGAGAGAGTAAGTCAAGAGCTCAAGGCCCTGAGTCTGAGCCCTAGTACTGACATTAAACAAACAAACAAACAAAAACATAAAATCACTTCTTTGACTAAACCATCATATGCTCTGCCAGTTCACCCTGAGCCTCATGGTATTTATTAGTTTTCAGCTTGCTGTTTAAAGGCTAGTTTGAAACTTACCTATTAAGCAGAAGTAGAGCAGCTTTTAACCAAGAAACCATCATAACAGATATCACCTACAGGCCTGGAATCAAAGCTGGTCAAATCTGAATCATAAATATAAGTATAGCCTTAAAGTTACCTTTTAAAAAGTTAGCCTGTAACTATAGTTCCTTTTTTGTTTGTTTTTGATAATTTAGCAGTTGTTTCATAAAGGAGGTAATCACAATTATTCTGAAATAATTGTTCTGTCGAGAGTGTTTATAATACTAGATAGAATTTCATTAAACTTGGAAACAAAGAGAAATGCTACTTCAGAATGAGCCTGTCAAAAACAATTCTTTGGGAAAAGTTGCAAGTTGACACATTTTAAAACAGATCCAATTTTCCACAGAATACTCCTATACCTGGTACTTACCACTTGAAAACTTTTATTGAGGAATCTCTGTTAAATCCTGTGACAACAACATACAGTTTTAAAAATGAAGGAAGAAAAAGGCCACCTCTTGTACAAAGAAATGATCCAATACTTATTGATGTTCCACATTACAAGCCTCCTGACTTCCTAGAGCTGTTAAAGAAGCAGATGGCCTCGTACTCATTCAAGGACAAGCCTCGGCCAAGCCCTAGTACCCTTGTTTACAAAGATAAGGTAAAGTGCTGTTAACAAATTGGGTTTTGTGAGCCAAGCACTGGTGGCTCACACTTGTAATCATAGCTACTCTGAAGGCTGAGATCTGAGGATTACGATTCAAAGCCAGCTGGGGCAGGAAAGTCCATGAGACTCTTTTCTCCAATTAACCGCCAGAAAACTAGAAGTGGAGCTGTGGCCTTGAGCCTTGAGCAAAACAGCTCAGGGACAGCACCCAGACTCTGAGTTCAAGCCCCCTTACCACCAACAAATTACAGAATATAGATTTTACCCCACTCCAGTGGAAAACCTCATTTCCTATAGAAGTCAAATTGAACTACCTACCTTGCAAATGTGTCCAGTGAGAGTCTTCCTATGAAATTGCCTTTTTTTTTTTTGCCGGTTGTGGGGGCCTGAACTCTGGGCCTGGGTGCTGTCCCTTGGCTCTTCAGCTCAAGGCTAGCGCTCTACCACTTGAGCCATAGTGCCACTTCCGGCTTTTTCTGCTTATGTGGTGCTGAGGAATCGAACCCAGGGCCTCATGCATGCAAAGCAAGCGCTCTACCACTGAGCCACCTTCCCAGCCCCTGAAATTGCCTTTTTTTAACAAAAATATTTTTATTTTTTAGTAGTTGCACAAAGAAGTTGTCATCCAAAAGCAGTTTATGAATACAATGAGTCTTGATCACTGTCACCCCTTTTGACATTCTTACCCATCCTTCCCAACCTGCCCTTTCCCTTGCTCTTATTAATTTTGTAGGATATGCATTGAGTTATTGATTGCCTTCTCCCCACTTTCTTCTCTTCATTTGACATGAAGTTGTCTTATCCCAACGAGAATGCTTGGAGAATAATCTGTCCCTCTGGGGTGACTCTTGGGCCATGCTCTGCTTCTTCAAGTAGTTGATGTGGTCAACCAGCTTCTGTTATGGAGAACACTCTGCTTCTTGGTTAAACATCCATGGATATAACTACCTACTCCAGGGAAGCTTTAAAAACATTTTTTCTTGGCTGGTGGGGTGAGGGGTGACTACCCAGTGGTGCAACATGTATTTCTTGTGCAGGAAACGCTTGAGTACATCCTGGCACTAAAAACAACATGTTTATTTTCCCTTGTAGAAATGAGCCTGTGGTCACAGAAGGGTCAGATTCTGCTCTCAGCTGCATCAGTGTATTCATGGACTGATCATACAAACATAGCTCATAGCCCTGGGCTAGGTTCCATGGAGGGAAGATAGATTTTTTTTTTTTAATAATACTGGTGTTGCACTAGGGCCTTGCACTTGCTAGGCAGGTGCCCTGCCACTTGAGCTATGCTTATGCCTAAGCTGACCTCAAATAATTTTCCCTTGTGCATAATGACAGGGGTGGGCCACCATGCCCAACTTTTGCTTGTTGAGGAGGAGGTCCGACAAACTCTTTATATAGACTGGCCTCAAACCACTATCCTGTTCTCTGCTTCTGGAAGTATAGGCATGAGATGAGCTTTTGTTCTCAGCTTTTTCTTTTTTTTTTAGGTGGGCAATACCACTTGAGAAGAAGTCTTTATTGGGACCTGATGTTATAATACCAGGGATCAACAGGATTGTATCTCCCAGCTGCTCCTTGACCTGGAAATATTTAAGTTAGCAATACCAAACAAAATATAAATATCAAGTGTTGAGATAAATAATAGAGCAGGAAATGCTAAGGGAGAATGCACTGCAGGCTGGACTGAAAGGCTATAAAGCTCCTCAGATTAAGTAGGGCTTAGCTGGACCTTAAATAATATTCATGCCTTTTATGAGGCTCTTAATATTTACTATGGGCTTGCACAAGTACATTTAGCTTCTTTCTTAAGTATGCTGAACTAAGTCGAAGAGTGCTTATCTTTATCTTCCATGCCAGAAAACTGAAGCAAATAGAGACCAGGTAGCATGTTCTAGGATCTATAGCTAATTCGGGCTTCTGAGTACAACTGAGGCACTCCTTCCAGTGTGTTGGCACCTCCCACCTTGAGTGGTAGGTGTAATTGCACCTTTGCACAGGTGTAATTGAAAGGACATGGCAGGAGTTGTGGCTTCTGGTTCAAGGGACAGGGTTGTGACTTCGACTTTGTTACTTGGGACTTTGTTCATTCGTTTCAATTCTCTATGCCTTAATAATCCCCAAATGGAGAGAAGCTAAGAACAGTATCAATAATTTCATCACAATGTTCTTTTGATGAAAGGAATGTCCTTTTGAGAAAGGAATACATGGCTACTGGAAGTTAAGATGTAGCCCTGTGTGGTAGCACATACCTGTAATCCAGTGTTCAGAATCCTCCTGCCTCTGAGGCAGGAGAATTCCAAGTTCCAGGCCTGACTCAAATAACAACAACAACAACAAAAACCCCATAGTGTTGCAAAGGTGGACACTTCCAGCCGGATGAACAGATACACCTAACTGGTAGCCCTTTCCTCTTGCCTTGTAAATTATATCTGTGAAGCAGAACAGAATGACCGATAGGACATGCTTACTGGGGAAATCGTACTCTGTTCATTTCAACAGTGTTTGAATGCAAATGCTACATTGAAACTGGGTTTTTTTATGACCAGTTATCAGATAACCAGGCTACATGTACAATTGTTTCTGCCATCTCATATGTAAAGCCATTCTTTCATGTTCTCTTCTTCCTGTATTTTTCTTCTTACACTCTTGAGTCTTAATTTCAGCCCTCTATAATATTTTTTAAAAATTGTTATTATAAAGGTGTTGTACAGTTACATAAATCAAGGAAAAAGTACATTTCTTTTTGGGCAATGTTACCTCTTCCCTCACTCCCAGTTTATTTTTAGCACATAAATCTTTCTATTGTTTTGACTTTCTTGAATCATGAAAATGCATTACTTACATAAAACACAATTTATTCAAATGATTCAAGTGGGAACATTTCTCTAGGTGTATATATTTTTGATTATTGGGGAATAGCTTTCACTAATTCATAAGAAACATCCTTTCTTATCCTATCATAACTAGCATAACATAAAATTGCTATTGAAATCTCATGTTATACTATATTTGCATAAAGCAATTGTTCTTTTCTCCTCTTTTTAAAATTAACTTTCTTCTTTTTAAAATTTTATTACGTAGGGCTGGGAAGGTGGCTCAGTGGTAGAGCGCTTGCCTTGCATGCCTGAGGCCCTGGGTTCGATTCCTCAGCACCACATAAGCAAAAAGAAAAAAGCCAGAAGTGGCACTGTGGCTCAAGTGGTAGAGCGCTAGCCTTGAGCTGAAGAGCTGAGGGACAGCGCCCAGGCCCAGAGTTAAGGCCCCACGACTGGACCCCCAAAAAACAACAACAACAAAACAACAACAAAAACAACAACAAAGAAAAGACTCTTGTTTTCATTTCCTGGAGTTCATTTCGATCAATATTATTTTGGTATTATGCCTCCATGTTTCTCTCCTGAGTATCCTCTTTGGTCTCACTGTGTGTGAATGCCTAGAGACCTGTACAGGTCATTGTGTCCCAGTGCATTTTAGATCTAGCTCCCACATATGAGAGAAAACATGTGCCTTTTGCCTTTCTAAGCTTCATTTACCTCACTTAACATGATTTGTTCTAGATCCATCCATTTCCCTGCGAATGACATAATATTCTTTCTAATGGCTGTGGAAAATTCCATTGTGTACAGGTACCACATGTTTTTGGTCCCTTCATCTATTGTAGGACATCTAGGCTGTTTCTACAGCTTGGCTATTGTGAATAATGCAGCGATGAACATGGGTATGCCAAGTGGCTTGAGATGTGCTGGGTAGATGCCCAGGATTGCTATGGTTGGGTCATAAGGAAGATCTATGTTTAGTTTTTTGAGGAACCTCCAGACTGTTGTCCAGATTCCTTTAGCTTTTTATTCAAGCTGGTACTCTACCATTTGAGCCACAGCTCTACCTCTGCTTTTTTCCTGATCAACCAGACATAAGAGTCCCATAGACTTACTTTCCTGGTCTGGCTTCAAATCATGCTCCTCAGATCTCAGTCTCCTGACTAGTAGGATTATAGGATTAAACCACTGGCACCCAGCTTTCAGTTTTCTTCTTTCTCTTTCTGTGTATGTGAAGGTGTGTGAGAGAGACAGACTGACGGAGACAGAGAATGAGCATTCATGAACAGTTTAAAGCAATTTTCATGTAACCATTCAAAAATCAAAAAAGTAGGACATCTTTGCTAGTCCTCAAGTAAGATCCTTGTTTAAAATATGTTTCTGGGCTGGGAATGTGGCTTAGTGGTAGAGTGCTTGCCTAGCATGCATGAGGCCCCAGGTTCAATTCCTTAGTACCACATAAACAGCAAACACCAGAAGTGGTGCTGTGGCTCAAGTAGTAGAGTACTAGCCTTGAGTGAAAAAGCTCAAGGACAGTGCCCAGGCCCTGAGTTTGAGCTCCAGGACAAGCACAAATAAATAAATAAATAAAAAGGTATAAAATATGCTTCTGTGGTATGAGACAAAAATGCATTTGTTATGTCAAGTGGGCAATTAACAAGGTTCAGGTGCATCAGGACTATGTGTGGACTTCATTATAGAATTTGTTTTTACTCGTTGCACTGTGTTCACAAAATGTGACCTTGGCCATCAAAATTGCATACTGACATGGGAAAGCTAGGCAGGAAGAAATGGACCAGCTGAGTTTCCTTGAGGCAGGTAGCACTAGATGAGGATGCTGTGTTCTCAACAAAGGCAGCACTGCTTCTTAAAGTCTGGTGTGAAAATACCAGGAGTGGAGGGAGACTGTCCCTTCAGGAAGCAGCCTGGTTGGATTGTATAGTATACACACAACACAGGAATGATTCTCCTGTCTTCCTACCAGCTCCCAACTCCCTCTGGCTTCTCCTGCCTCTGGGCCAACAAAGGACAACAGAGCCAGCCAGATAGTTGGTAGCAAGCTCCAAGAGGAGCAGAGGCTCTTCCTTCTTGGAAGTCTTCCCCTTCTTAACAGCCTCCCTCAAATTTAACCTTTTATTTCTTTTTCTATTTTCTTTTCACTACTGGGGATTGAATTTAGGGTCTTGTAGTTGCTAGAAAGTCTCCCTTCCACCTAATCTTTTTGCTTTTAGTTTGTTTTCTAGCTAGGGACTTTTGCCCCCAGCTGGCCTCCAACTTTGATCCTCTTACCTCTGCCTCCTGAATAGCTGGGATTACAGATGTAAAGCACAATGCCCAGTCTGTTTCTGAGATAGTCTTGCTAAATTTTTCCCAGGCTGTCTTCAATCTGTGATGATCCTATCTCTGCTTTCTCTTGATTGCCTTTAGACCACTCATTATTTAGATAACCTCTTTCTACTCCCCATATTTTCCCATCTGTTTTTGAGAAAATCTCAATGCTGTTGTATATTTTATTTTATTTTTGTGCCAGTCCTGGGGCTTGAACTCAGGGTCTGTCCTTAAACAACTTCTTCTTAAAAAAATACGGTCATGGGGCCTGAATTGTGAGCCTGGACACTGTCCCTCAGATCTTCAGCTCAAGGCTAGCACTCTATCACTTGAGCCACAGCCCCACTTCTGGCTTTTTTGATAGTTAATTGGAGATGAGTTTTATGGATTTTCCTGCCAGGAGTTGGCTTTGAATTAAGATCCTCAGATCTCTGCCTCCTGAGTAGCTCGGGTTATAGGTATCCCTGGCACAAGCACAATCCTTTCTGTTAGAATTCTTCCTGTGCCTGCTGGATATGGACCATGACTGTCACCACTGTGTTTCCTACTACTGGCCTTGTGCCATACTCCAGGGCAGGTGACAATGGTCCAATCAACTTGTTGATCTACTACATTCAGAATGTGATCAACTAGGCACAGTTTTCCCACGGAGCATCTCAGGCATTTTGTCTAAAACTCAAAGGGAATAAATGATGTAACATTATGCAACATTATTTGGCCATACAATCAAGGATTATGAATGATAAGTGATACAGTGAGTTTATGAACTGATCTATCATTATGTCCTTGTTCCTTCTGCGCAGTCCCTTGAGCTTTCCCCGGGACAATATGAGGTACTTCCTCTGCCGGTTCCCAAGCACTCTTCCAGGTAAGTTTGTATTGCTTAAGTTATTTTTCAGTCTTTTCACTCATGCCTTTCTACTGGTCCTTATAGTTTTTGTTTTTGTTTATTTGTCCATTGTAGGTCTTGAACTCAGGGCCTAGGTGCTATCCCTGAGCTCTTTTGTTCAAGGCTAGCACTCTACTATTGTGAGCCACTTCAGGCTTTCTGGTGGTTTGTTGGAGGTATGAGTCCTGCCTGGGCTGGCTTTGAACCAGGATCTTCAGATTTCAACCTTCTGAGTAGACAGGATTACAGGCATGAGCCACCAGTGCCTGGCTACTTACAGCTTTTAAAGATCATTTGTGTCCCTCCTATCCAGATTGAAGTACTTAAGGGATACTTTGACAAATATTTTTCCTTTAAAAAACAGATTTAGAAATATTTTTCCTTTTATTTTTAATATAGGAGCTTTGTCTTTCGTTCTACAGTTCAAAGATTCCCACCAAACTACTTCACTCCTGTAAGTATATATAGACAGCTATTCTTGATGAGTCTGGTGTTTAAAATATACAATGGTTCCTTTTAATATATTAACTTTTTATCATAGTAAGCTATAAATGATTAATGCAATTGATATTAGATATGCTTAAAGTATATCTGAAGACATACTAGGAATTTCAATGTAAATAACCCATTCATGACAGGTTATAGAACATATCTGTCTCATTAACTTTTTGGTAAGTTCAAAGTATATAATGTACAATATAACTATTGCTTATAACAACACACTGGTACTGTTGAGAATCATCCAGAAAATAAACTAAATGTTCTTACACAAAAATAGTACTAATTCTAGCTAATCAGGAGACTGAGGTCTGAAGATCAAAGTTCAAAGCCATCCCAGGCAAACAAATCCAAAAGTCTCTTATCTCCAATTAAACAGCAAAAGTTGGAAGTAGAGCTGTGGCTCAAGTGGTAGAATACTAGCCTTGAACCAAAAAGCCAAATTAAAACGTGAGGCCCTGTGTTCAAGCCCCAGTGCCAGCACCAAAAACAAAAAAATTCAAACATATGGGACTGGGAAGGTGGCTCAGTGGTAGAGCGCGTGCCTTGTAAGCATGAGGCCCTGGGTTCGATTCCTCAGCACCACATAAGCAGAAAAAACAAAACAAAGTAAATCAATTTGTGGATACCTTTCATCTTGCTTACTCCACTTTGAGAAGATCCACCTAAATTAGTGAGTTACAATACAGAAATATTCACCGATGCAAAGATATCACCAAAGGATTATTTATAGCAATAGTTACAATTCATTTATCAGTAGGAAGGAAGTCATCTTTAAAGAATGTTACACATCCATTGAAAGGAATATTTTGTTTCCCTTTATGTAATCCTTTTAAAATTATAAGTTCACCCAAAACCTTTATGACATATACTATGATATATCATAATATTCACACTGATCCATGTATTATCTATTGACTTATACTTGATACATATGATTAAAATAATGTAAGAGCCAGGAGCTGGTGGTTCATGCCTGGTTTTCTACCTACTCAGGAGGCTGAGATCTAAGGATCATTGTTTGAAGCCAGCTCTGGGAGGAAAGTCCATAAGACTCTCCAATAAATTACTAAAAAGTTGAAGTGGAGTTATGGCTCAAGTGGTAAAATGTAGCCTTGAGCACAAAAGCTCAAGCCCCAGGATCAGCACACAGGCATGCACACAATGTGTGTGTGTGTGTGTGTGCACACACACACACATACATACACATATACACTAATAAAAATAAAATAATGTAAGGAAGGTCACATGTATTAAAAAATAGAAAATGGACCAAAATTGCCAGGGTTTAAACTCAGGACCTTGCCTTCTTACTTCTTGCTCACTGCTGGTGCTTTACTACTTGAGCCATGCCTCTAGTCTGGCATTTTGCTGGTTAGTTGGAAACAGAATTTCTGCAAGGGCTGGCTTTGAGCCATTTGATCTTCACATCTTTGCTTCCTAATCAGCTGGGGTGATAGGCATGAGACACCAGAGCCTGATTCCAATGTGCCTTCTTTTGGTCGGTTGTGGGGCCTGAACTCTGGGTGCTGTCCCTCAGTTCTTCAGCTCAAGACTAGTGCTCTACCACTTCAGCCACAGCACCACTCCTGGCCTTTTCTGCTAATA